ACAAAGTTTTTAAGGTATACATACAAATGACAACAAATAAGCCAGCTAGCAAATGAGCTACAAACCACTGTCAGCCCTTTGCCACTCGAAAGGCCAGAATCCACTCCACTGACGAAAATACAACATGACTAAAAAACACCTGACACAAAACACTTCAACACTGACACAAAATCAAAACAGACCTTCTCTTTAATAAATAACAACAAATGAGAAACATGATCATTAGCCCACAAGTCTACAAACAAACACTTGATAAGAGCCAGTGAAGAAAGCAGCCAAAGAGGAGATTACAGCATAAAAGCTTCTACAACAATCATTCTCAAATCAATTTATGATATAATCCCTTTTCTTTTCTCTGCCCCCTTTATAGCGATAAAGGGATTAACAAATGAGGAATTATGCATTACAATATTTTAATCTCAAGTGAGGCAAGGTTACAGAAGGCATAGAGGAAAGCCAAGTACAGTAACAGTAACATTCCAATAAAAAAACTTTTTTAAATAGATTTATTTGTACTACTGCACTTGATTGACAGTGTATTTCTATCCACAATAGGGAACCCTCTTTTAAGGGAGAAACACCTGTGCATAAAGTTTCTGCGATCTCTTTTTTTTAAGTTTAAAAGATCTAGATTAACAAAATGGATCATCTCTAATCACTTTCTCAAGGTAAGACAGTGTACTGACAAACCAATATGCCTGTTGTACACCTCTGCAAATTGAGACTCGAGTTGGACAAATACTGAGTTCAAAGAGAACAAATCACTTGATATTCTATTTGAGCATGGCTTTACAGATCGTGTGAAAAGAGAAGAGCACAACGCAATGAATTTCATTTGCTCAGAGTTTAAACATTACTGATGTGTTTATGACAACAAATAATGTCTCAACTGATGCCTTAAACGTAAAAGCACCTAAAAAAAGAACAAATTTGAAAGAATATTAATATTTAGTATCACATCCACTGCATAATATTTTCAGGAAATAAACACTCAAGCGTGCATCAAACTTTAAAAAGAATCTTGAGTCATTCTAATAATCTTTAAGGATTTCACACAATGATTTTATGATTTTACAAAGAGTATTATAGGTCATTTGTTTGCCATAAGTGACAATGAATAAAGCTGTGATGGGGGAAAGGGTATTACTGAACCGACCTCATCTCTGAGATCCTAATGCCCCTGGGCTTTGTGATTGTGACTAGTTCTCTATTGAGAGTTCAGCTTCATAACCCACTTTTCCAGCTACAGTTCTGTTCTTAGCCTTCATCTCAATCTATTCAACTCACGAGCCAATAGAGAAAATCATTTGAACTTGGTGGATCATTTTTAGCCATCCAGATATAACCATCAAATCTACAATCTATCCTTTTACAGACACCCTTAAATAAATGTTTAAACTGAAAACAGATAAGCAGAGATATTGGGAATTAAAGCAAAAGGAGTAACTTGTTTTAATCTGCCTGTCAAATGTAAAAGTAAAATCCATTATGTTCAACAGAGTATGAATATTCCTACACAACACATAATCTGATTGTAGAAACTATAATCAAGTCAAACTCACAGAGCATCACTATAATACAGTAACAGTTTCACTCAATTTAAAAACAAAATTAATAAAAAAATGCATTATTGTTCTGAATTTAACCAAATTTTCTGTAATCAATTTATATCTGTTCATTACACTACAATTTAAATATGAATGTTTGCTCTGCAAGCTTCAAAATCATATTTTATTGTTTGGATTTGGCTAAATAACAATCATTTTATCAGATCAATAACAAGCTGAATTATTCCTAACAAACTAGATAATTAAAATAGCAGGCTTGCCACCACACCTAAGCACATGACAAAAGAAAACAGAAAATGTTTTTAAACCTTTAAGAAACCAGATTAACAAATACACAAAAATAGTCACTTCAATGACAAGAACATGAATTAAAGAATTATGGTTAATTACTATATAAAAAAAGAAGCTATTAAATCATATCTAACCTGTGGGCATATTTAAAAAGAAATTAAAAAATGGTAGTTATTTGGTCAACATTTCCGAATTAATTGTAAAAATGCCATAATGTGCTTAAAACATTATCAATGCACTGTATACATGTATGATTTTAAGCAGATTATAATTATAGACAAAAACAATATTTTAGAAGCACTGGAGACACATTTGAAACTATTTACAGCATTAAATGTCATCTGTTACATACATCCAGCTCTGCTCTGCTCTCTATGTTTTCATGCTTCCACTCCCTTACTGCAAATACACAAGACTCCATAACAAAAGATCACATGAAAACAGGGAGAATCCTGAAAGGAGCACAGGCTGCTCAGTAAAGGACTGCTTGATGCAAGCCAAAATTTAACAATCTAAAAGTAGCATACATCAAGGGAAAGTACAGCTGCTATTCAAGAGACTTTGTATAACCATTGCAATAGATCTTTTACAAAATGCACAGAAAAAATACTGGGACATTTCTGTTCTAAAAAGATATTCAGTACCAATTTACAAAAATATATTTTTAAATAATCTTCAAGTTATAGGCTACAATTTTTGTTTTTAAATAAGAAAACCTGTGAAAATAAACTGTCTGATAATTCTTACAAATTACCTATGTGCTACTTTGAATTGACTTGTTAAAATTATATGTAAAAGTATATAGGCTAACTTTTAAGACAGCTGACTAAATGTTCATGTAAAAGGTAAAGAGTTTAAAAGCATTTTTCATTCAGTTCTGACTTGTTTTACAGCTTGATTTGTGAAAATATAAAAAACAATTGGCCACTGAAAACATAATGGATCACTGGCATACAATAGTTAATAACTTACAGATCAATATGGCAATTTGGCAAAAACAATACTCATTTAAAACATATCTATTTTGACTATCTATTTTGTCATTCACTAGCCTACATGTGATCATTTATATTTTAACATTATTTTACATGCTATATTAAAATGCATTTACATGTAATATTTATTAAAAACAGCCATAATATAACTACTTAATACAAATCACAAAAAAATCAGCTGCATAAAAAGCATGTTTGTTTTTAATTATTTCTGTAAATTGTAAAGTCTGTTCAGCAAATGTAATATACCATAATGCACATTAAAACTAACTATGTTTTCACTTATGTGGGCTAAATTAGTCCCTTTAATTTTGCAGTTTTAATTTAGCCTCTTCTAACAGAAACCAGTTCATCATAAGAATTTAATGTCATTGTGTCTTACAGAAAAAAGCATCCCAGTGTTAAACAATAAAACAATTAATTAAAAAACATTATAATTATTAAGGCAACAATTCTGTACCAAGCAAGTCAGTGTATGAAAAAAAATAATAATCACATATATATAAGATATTGGCTCATTCGCCTAAATGCCATTTTCTTTAAATGCTAGTGACGAGAAAACGATTCAGTCGTAATTTATTTACTTTGAAAAATTACCTTTAAAGAAGACCTCGTTACAGTATGCATATATAAATTAAGCATGGAAATTAAAACAGCCGTTACTAAACACACCCTTTGAGAGCATTAAACACAGAATACACCAAGGATTCAGTGAAATATCGATAACACCTCTCATTTCAGTGTCCAGGTTAATGTAATTAATCACAACAGCAATAACAAACGTATGTACTGCTCCACAGAATATCTACGCCACATGCATGCTGCATAATAGCATTGCTCAGTATGTCTAAACTATGCACTGTAAAACGAACACTGAGGTAAAAAAAAAAACACACACACACACACATTAGAAATACCTATAATCACGGCCAACATGGACATGAGAGGCTGCAGTACCATATCTAACACATACGCGCCTTGTGTGTGAAGATTATATTGCGACATAAATGCGTCCAGATATCGCACATTTGTAACTTGAGCCGCTCCAGTTCGCTTCAGATTACACTTCAGATTCTAGAAGCATTCTAGAACTGCGTGAAACGTTCTAGAACGAGCTGCGCACACACAAACGTTCTGCTCGTACATGCTGCTTTCAGTCATGTTAGGTTGACTCTAGCAGCAGCATGGCCGACTCTTCCAAATCAAAGACTGGCCATCTTGACTGCGCACTTTATGCAACACACTCCCCGAGTTACATGCGACCCTCTGAGGCGCCAGAGACCAGTAATTAATATGTTTTCCGAAATAACGCTTTTGCATCTTTACAGAAACCTTATTTTTCGATTTAAGCGTTGTGTGTGACGCCTTGTCTGACAATGAGACGCCGTAACAGGCGTGCTTTTGATATAAACTAAGTCTGTACATGTAATTTCACATAAACCCTTAAATCTCAAGGTTGTGGGCTGTTCTCTAGCCATTTCTATGCCGCCCTCCCGTGGAACACAAACGCAGGGCCTATAGGGGAAATCACGTGGGCCACGGAAGGGCCTAAACACGCGCCATGAGGTCATGCACAATGATCTTGCTCTTGTACAATTCAAGCATAAGAAAAGGGCGTAATATCAGATTTCAGATATGTTTCGGTTAAAACTTTATTTCCATATTTGCATTCACTACCTGGATCTACTGCACGTAAACACGGCGTGTTCTTAAAGCTTCTTAAACGGAAAATCTGTGCTACATTACGCAAGGAAACACCCAATATCAGTATTCTCTTCTACGCCTGATGCAATCAGACAGCGCTTTTACAGTTTATAACTTAGAGGTAAAACAGCGTATTTTGAGGCCACATTGTTTCAATGCTTAAGATGAACTGCAAAAATCACGAGCTCATTAACCCTGACAAGAAATGAATTAATTACAGTTCAAATAAAACGAACAGGCAAGAAGAACGTAGCACTAAAAATAAAGGTTAAGCTTGATTGACAAATATGCAAAATAACCAAAACATTTTTTATTTCCTTTTCCCTATACATCACATTTTCACAAAGACAAAAAACACTGCACCAGCAACTTCCAAATGCAGCAGAGATAATGCTTCTTTGCACTGCAAAAGCATATAAATAAAGCAAAATTATTACCTTACCTTAGTTTTTTAGGAACAGAGTAGTCGACCTCGATCACTTTCCCATGTAATTCAACTTTCCCTGCGAGCAGCAAACAAAACAAATGATCACAAAATTACATTCCTCCAGTTTATTATCGACACCGCTGAAATAAATACTTCAGCGTTTTTAATCACATTTATAAAACAAACAACCGTGCGTGCAACGTAAATACGTGGGATACAATCACACGTGCAAGTTCGTGCTTATAAATGCACGCTGGCGACGTAGTGAGTTTTCTCATGTCTACATGTAAGGTGTAATATCTTAACCACACTTCCTATTATGCCTGATGATATTATGCGAAATGCTTGATGAGCTGATACCATATGAAGAATGGGCAGCCATGATTTCCACTCCCACTAACCACATACGAGCAACGAGGAGAGTTTGAAGAATGGGAGGTCAAAGGATAAGACTCTTCTGCCTAAATTTGTCCCGTTTCTTCAAGTAGGTTTGGATGTGTACTTTTCTGTTGCATGCACAACGACTCGCGAGCGTGAAAGAAGAATATAGAGGTGCTGTGCATCTGTTGTGTATGAGTGGCCTGGCGCAGCACAAAAATTGGCATCTCACCTCCGTCCCCCCAGCTACCTGTTTATTAGCACTTTCCTCCAGACCCCCGTCACCCACCTTTAAGACACCTCGTTAAAACATACCTGGACACCATAGGAACATGCATGTGACGCCTTCTTCTCGCTCAGTTCGCTCGCTTCTTTTCAATAAAATCAAGACAAAAAATAACTGGAAAATAATTACGCCTGCCACCCAAGCATCAGACCCATCCGATACATTCCTATGGGCCGATGGCTGAGAAATCACCCCCGTTCAGCACCTCGGCTTGGCGAAACAAGCGTGTATTTAAAGAATTCTATCATAAATTTAACTTGTATCGCGTGTTGGAAGCCAGCGCGAGTGTGATTGAGCTCGCGGGCGTTCATTCGCGCACTGGTCCGCTGGCGTAAAGAACTGGAGCAGCGCGCGGCTGATGTGCGAGCGTTACTTTTTCTTTTCTCTTCCAAAAAAGTCTTTTACGATGCCAGTCCAAGATATATATAACCGTGACTTTCCGCGATGTGAAAAACGCACTTACCGGATAGAGTCTCGATGGCTTTAATCGCCCAGTTCTGGTCGGGGAAGTCCACGAAGGCATAGCCGGATTTGAGCAGGACCTGGTCGGTCACGGGAAGCTTCCTCTCGCCGAAGAGCTGCTTCAGGTCCTCCACGGTCACCGAAGGACTCAGATTCCCCACATAGAGTTTGTTCATGGTCTATACGAAGATCTGTACGTCCAGATATATCGGCGTGCAATGGATAGCTCGAAGTAAGGAAAATAAAATAGAAAAAATAAATAAAAATAAATGTGCTGAAAATCAGCAGTCAACCCCCCAGATGCAGCCGGACCCCCCCTGCTACATACACAACTCTGTTCCTGCTCAAACTCTTTTACTGGGACTGAAAAAAAGTGTCGTTGCGACGTTACTCTGTTGCCAACAAGCGCCGCCTCTAAATAAAAACGCTCTTAAATATCACAAAATCACTTTTGAGGTGTTTATGGAGATTGGTGTCTGGTGTTCAATTTGCCAGCATAAATAATCGGATAAAGCATAATGATGAGACTCAGTGAGTAACACTGGAGGGTTTAGTTCATAGAAATCCACTTACAGAGAAATAATGTCTGTTCAAGTCAATATTATATTGTAATGACAGATCATACAGCCCTTCAGCTTGTGTTAATAAACGGATGTATGCGTATTTAAACCACTTTCAAAGGCAGTTTTTTATGTACATGTGTGAATGACAGCTTGATTGGCATCTTTAGGGTGTTGTGGATTGATGGGCGTTTTCCTCTGTCACTTGTGAGAATAACTCGATGTTTGTTTTATATTCGTTTATGCTCTTCGAGTTTGATTCGATATTTAAGCTACGATTAATAATTGGGACTGCAAAACTGTAAGCACAGACTCCAAAGAGAATAGCTGCTGTGGGAAAAATGGGACTTTCTCTGGGAACGCCCATGTCAATGGAAAAGAAACAGGAATGTGGAAAAACCTTATGGAATTATGATTCAGGAGGAGCCTGAACGTTATATATGAATATAATGCATTGATTCCACTTAAGCAGACTGTGGTAAGAGACTTCCAAAGATGACTGATATGAGCAAAATCTCAAATCATGTTTATATAGGTGTGTGTGTGTATATATATATATATATTTATATATAAAAAATCTAGATGATTTCATTCATTGCTATAGTATTCTTAAAGTTAATCTGGGTGGGATTCTCACATTAAGTCTGAAATGTTTGCCCCCTTTACTTCTGCTGATTTCTGTGTTTAGAGTGACTATACATCAGTACAGGATTGCTCTGTACTGCAGTATACTGGGGTTTTCTCCAGTGTCTCAAACATTACTTATCAGAGCTCCAATTTAGACCCTACAACATTACAGGTCTCCAAATGCAGCAGTGCCTACTAGCAATGCATTACAACAGCTTAATCTTTACTCATAACATAATCTAGGTCTAAATTGGGGCCAGTTACCGTCAGTTTGTGGTGTTTAAAAACACTTTAAATATATTAATGATACTGATTTCAGAACTTCAGAAACCCAATTAAAATCCCTCCAAATAACCAGGTACAGTAAAAGTAGGGAATCCCAGAAGGGTCAGCTGTAAGCAGACACCCACACTGTGTCCAAATTAATGTTAAATCCCCGAGTAGTTTAAACTACATTTTTTACACATACTGGAGAAGTATTTCAGTTGATCCTATTATTAACAATATATTCTCTGAGGTAATGGGACTCAAATTGGAACAGAGCTCAGGCAATGGTGTTCTAGCGTTCCTATTCAATAGGTCTATTAAGTTCACTGCATTCAAGGCAAATGTCTTGAGAGAATATTTGTATGCATTACATAAATATGCTGTCCATAAATCTGCAGTGGTGGATTTCAAGACAAGGATTTCAATTTAGGTTTGAAACATATAGATTTCAATGTTTTGAGTGATTCAAGCAGAAGCTCACATCTGGGGGGAGGTATAAAGCTGTTTATTGCAAGACCACTGCTAAGCTTAAAACACAAAACAATGGTGTGTGAGCAGGACATTTTATCATATAAAATAAATGCAAGTTCAGCATTAGATCGGAAACTTAAGGGAAAAAAAATAATAATTCAACAGTGCAAAAATATTCAAACTACTGAAACATCCAGACCGGTCAAAGACACATGAAACCTTTAGGCAAGAAATCAAAGGGATTGAGTTTAAAGTCCATCCAAACTCATGCCACCAGAAATAAACATCTACGTCATCAACAATGTCATTGTCATCAACATCTTCATAGAGGGCGAGAGGAGTCAAACATCACTTCAGTAATGACCTGTAAAAACAAATAAAGGTTTTCTAAATATTTTATTGTTGTTGTTGTTTTTTTACATACATGTGTCACAAATCACCAGAGCACTTACACTGTGTTGAGCTTAAGCACTCTTCAAACATAAAGCCAGGGAATCAATACAAGTGACTTTCATTGAAGTTTATTGTGGTAGCGTTTGTGCATTACTTACGAGGGGAGTAGGAGCGAGAGCGTGATCTTGACCTGTATGGTCCTCGGCCGTAGTAGGGAGAGGGGGATCTTCTCCTGTGAACAGAAAGCTGAGATTTAATGGAAACGCCAGCATCTACAGATCACAACAAAGAAACAGCATTCAAAACTGTACAATAGCAAACCATTTTAAAAGTTAAAAGGCATATAGCAAAAATAGCTTGCTGTATGAACTGAACTGATATAGTATGCAGTCTGTAGGACCAGGGCTCAACAGCAAGAATAAGCTGATGTTCTGGGGGCAAGTGTGTGAGTGTTTCAGGCTAGTTGAATAGACTGTCACTTGACCTATTTAACCAGTGGTGCTCATCAACTCTACACTTTACTTTTAATTATCTTATATTGTTTATATGCCATACAAACTTTAAAATTTTTGTCTTTCTAAAATCTACTGAATATAATTTCTGTAAAAGTTATCATGGTACTGTTATTTAGCTTTCTAACATAGATAAGCATGGTCAAAATGGTAAAAAAAAAAAAAATTATTTGTGGTATTCCTGTAAGCATTTACTAATTATAAATTAATAAAAAATAAAAAAACATTTTACCAGCAAAAGAGATTTATGAATTTATAGCTGCATAGCCTCCAGATATTACTACCAATTAAAAACCTTAAATAAATTTATCAAAATTTTTGCAAAGAAAATGTATATTGAAAGAAGTCTTTTATGCTCAGCAAGGCTGCATTTGATCAAAAATATTTAAAAACATTAATATTGTCAAATAAAATTACAATTTTAAATAATTTTATTTTAATACACTTTAAAACAATTTATTCCTGTAATGACCATGCTGAATTTTCAGCAGCCATTACTCCCAGTCTTCAGTGTCACATGATCCTTTAGAAATCATTATATATATATATATATATATGATCTGATGATTTGCTGCTCAAGAAAAAAAATGTTTTATTATCAATGTTGAAAACAGTTGTGCTGCTTAACATATTTAATTCAGGATTCTTTACTAAACAAAGTTCAAAAGAACAGCATTTATTTGAAGTAGAAATCTTGCGTAACATTATAAATCACTTTTGATTAATCAAAAGCATCTTTGCTGAATAAAAGTATTACTTAAAAAAAAAAAACAATGGTGGCATGGTAGTGTGTTTAACATTATACTGCATATATAACATAAAATGTTTTGTAGTGAAATGAGTAACACAATCAGCTGGTTAAGCACAAATCTAATCTACTGGCCCAGCAGAGAGGACTCCTTATTGTTGAGCCATGCAGGATGTCACTTCAAACACATACAGACTGTTGAACAATAGGGGATCACCTGTATGACCTGCTGTTGTAGTAGTCACGATCATCATAGCGATCATATCCACGCTCATAGCCTCGATCACAGGAATCACGGCGACGGCTTTCACTCGGGCCACCACCACTGCACAAGAGAAAAAGATGATCATTGATATACACAACACTGATCAAGACTATTTACCATGAGAGAAATATTCAGTTATCAGTGTTTATCATCTAGAACATTCAGATGGGTTATTTGAGTGTGTGATTAACCAGACTGCAAGGAATCTGACTCACTATGTTGGTCTGCCCATATATATTCCTGGAGTAGGTGTGTGTGGCCTCTTGGTAATAGAGTAGTCGACTCTGATTCTGCGGCCATCTAGCTCCATACCATTTGCACGCTCCTTAGCCTAAAACCAAAAGAGACCAGAATAACCCATACTGAGCACACAACAATATTCTTTCTGCTTAAGGACATTAATCCCAGGTATGTCTCTATTGGTGGACATAAAATAGCTGCGAGAACAGTACATTCAAAACAGTAAAAAAAAATGCAACTTTGCTGCTGACAAACCAGTGTTTTCAATTATGCAGAATACTACAATCAATACACAGAAGCATACAAGTGACTAACTAAAGTTCACCCAAAAATGAAAATCTGCCGAACATTTACTCATCTTTAGGCTATCAAAGATCTAGAGTTCTTCATCTGTTCATCAGAACAGATTTGGATAAATTTAGCATTACTTGTTCACCAATGGATCCATTGTAGTGAATCAGAATCATCAGAATGAAAGTTCAAACAGGTTTTTTTACTGGAGAAAGCAGTATTATGGATAGAGGACTCGTATTTTTGGGTGAAATATTCCTTTAACCTTCAAAATCAAGCAATTGGAAAAACCTTTAAAACGGTCAATTAGTGATTTCAGCAAAGGCAGAGCATTCTCATTTCTTGTATGAACAAAAACAACTTTTCGCTTTATGGAAATTCATACAAATGACAGCTGCAGTTTATTAACTGATCATATTTCACAGCTAAATTGCATGTTACTATTCAGCTGGAAAATTCACCTCTTTTGAATCTTCTCTGTTCTCAAAGTAGACAAAAGCAAAACCCCTGGAGCGCCGAGACTGCTGGTCGTACACAATGCTGACATCACTCAGAGGGCCAAACTTGGAGAAGACCTCCCTCAGGTCTCTCTCTGTGGTGTACAGGCTCAGGCCAAACACTCCCAGGCAGCTGTTTGGGTCTGGGTTTGTCTAAAGGTGAAGAAAACTTTACAGATCACAATACAGCGCTCCAAAAATACTGCAAAAAACATCAGGTATGGAACTGACTCATTGTCTCACCCGGTCTCCAAGGTGACGTCTCCGGTTGGACATAGGAGAATGACTATGACTGCGGCGGCGATGGTGTCCGCTGCTGTATGAGCGGCTGCGTGAACGTCGCCGGCGAGAATGAGAGCGTGAACGGGAACGACTGTAATGTCGGCGAGAACTCCGATGGGAACGAGACCTGCAGAAGTATGGAGTAAAATGAAAAAGAGCAACGTAAAAGGCAACAGACTTGGAGTCTATCAAGTTACCAACTAATGAGTCCTGTCTTAAACTTCTTAGACAGACCAGAACCTCCAGCTTCAATTTCATTATATATCAAGTTCCTACTAACACATGTCAAACTGCAGAGTGCTTAAAATCGTAGTCCTGGGTGGGGGAACATTTTTTAAATTTGGCCTAAACACCATTTCTACTTTTAACCGGAAAGCAGCAGGTGTGACTTCCACTCTGCCGACTCGGAGTACTGTGAATTCCACTAGTAGCTGAGCCACGAGGCCATTTCAAGAGTTTCAAATGACATGCAATTTTGGACTTAATCAAAAGCAACACAACTGCTTCCCTATGTTATACATATAAAAATTTTTAAAAAAAAAACACTTTTGCAAACATGGGGGGGGACAAACACTCATTTTGTGCAGAAAAATAAAAATCTTTCAAATACAATAGGGTTCTTACCCCCCTAAAAACTAATGATACGAATCCATTTCAGTCTTGTTTACGGTAAAGTTGATCAAAATTAAATCTTTTTTTTATTTTTATTAAAACAAGTAGATATCTGCCAATTGACTCATAAAAATCTACTTAAAAGGGAACAAGTTTTCATATGCCTTTGTTATTCATACGCCTTTATTTATTCTTGTTTTAAGCATACCCAATGTTATTGAATTTTTCAAGACTTCATTTTACACTTCCAAGTAAATGATTTTATGTCCCAAGTAAATGTATAGTAAAAGGTATATTTATTTTTTTGCAATGCATGCAATATTTAATGCCTTACATTTATGAATTTAAAATGTTCTGCTCTGATTTAAGACCCTTTGTAATGCCTTAAATTGTGGAAGGGTGAATGAAGGCTTTTTAAGACACACAAAGAAACCCAATAATACAGTTTTACAATAATATAAATTTTACTAGTATTTTTACTTGCCTTCCGGTAGTTTTTTTTTTTTTTTTTTTAATTGTAAATCACTTTGTGACAAGGTTCTATACAAGTTTATTATTAGTTAAGAACAAGGATGAAAACCCTTGTTTTCCCGGCTGCGTGAACGTCGCCGGCGAGAATGAGAGCGTGAACGGGAACGACTGTAATGTCGGCGAGAACTCCGATGGGAACGAGACCTGCAGAAGTATGGAGTAAAATGAAAAAGAGCAACGTAAAAGGCAACAGACTTGGAGTCTATCAAGTTACCAACTAATGAGTCCTGTCTTAAACTTCTTAGACAGACCAGAACCTCCAGCTTCAATTTCATTATATATCAAGTTCCTACTAACACATGTCAAACTGCAGAGTGCTTAAAATCGTAGTCCTGGGTGGGGGAACATTTTTAAAATTTGGCCTAAACACCATTTCTACTTTTAACCGGAAAGCAGCAGGTGTGACTTCCACTCTGCCGACTCGGAGTACTGTGAATTCCACTAGTAGCTGAGCCACGAGGCCATTTCAAGAGTTTCAAATGACATGCAATTTTGGACTTAATCAAAAGCAACACAACTGCTTCCCTATGTTATACATATAAAAAATTTAAAAAAAAAAACACTTTTGCA